CCCTCCCAGCCTTCCCAAATTCCCTTTTCCAGGTTAAACCCATTCCCTGTGTCCTGGGATCCCATCCCGAATCCCAAATCCCTCTCCAGCTCTCCTGGAGCCCCTTTAGGGACAGGAAGCAGCTCCAAGGTTTCCCTGGAATTTCCTTTCTCCCACCTGGGCACTTCCAGGGATTGGGAATGCTCCATCCCATCCCGGTTTGGGAGTTCCAGTTGCTCCCAGCTCATCCCAGCTTTAATCGTGGCAGATTTGGCCCCTGCTGGATTTATCCCCTCCAAATCCCAGCAGGGAAGGAGCAGGAGCCGGTTTTTAATCCAGATTCCAGCTGCCAAACCATTCCCAGAACATTCCACGCTGCGGGGCTGGAGCAGCAGCTTTCCCTGCTCCCAAAAAAAAAAACCAAACCCCAAAACCCTGGAGCAGTTTGGCTTCTGTGCCCAGGAATTCCCACGGGATTTGGGGAATTTTGGGAAGCACAGAGCAGATCCAACGGGATCAGCAGCCCCAAATTCCTGAAAGGAAGGAGAACCCACCTCAGCTCTCCGCGTTTTCCCGGTTTTTTTTCCGAGCGCCTTTCACGCTCCAATCCCGAATTCCCAGGATTACGCAGCCACAAATCCCAGCAGGAAAAGCTTCCGTGGGATTTTGGGAATGGATAAACGAGGCCACAAAGCCGAGCGTGACTCGCGGAGCTCCTTTTATCCCTTCAAACCCACCCGTGAAATTCCCATTTCCGGAGGCAAATCTGCCTCGGGCCTTCCTGGCCTGGATTATCCCAAAAAAACTGGGATAATTCCTGCCACATCCTGGTTTTTTCCAAGCACTCGGGGCCTACAGGTGAGGTTTTCTTACCTGGATTTTGGATTTTACCTGGGAACAATTGTGTGCTTTTGAATTTTAATTTGATTTATTCACACACTGATTTTTCCCTGCACGCTCCCAAACGAATTCCTCATTTTCCAGCACTTAAAATCCCATTTTAAGGACAAGAATTGGGATTTCCTGGAGGGCCTGGCACTCGGCACAACATTCCAAAGGTGCAAATTGGAATTTTTAGGATTTGCCACCCACCAAATCCATTAAAACAAAACATTTTCCTCCCTTGCCGTTATTTTCCTGAATTTTTGGCCGGACAAGCCCTCGGATAATTTGGAGAAGAGAAATCCTTCCAGCCTGAGGTCAAGAAAATTTAAATATTGAGCTCAAAGAAGGTCAGGAATATCTGAAATATCAGGAATTTCATATTTAAAATTGAATCTCATGGATAAAATATCAGGAATTTAGTTTCTCATATCTTGGTTGAATTTGGAGGAGGCCACCAGTGTTAACTACTGGAATTTCTACTCCAGAAAGGAGAAATCTGCCCCAAAACTCTGCTGGGAAGAGAAACTTATGGAAAATTGGGATAAAATAAGCAGCTTTCCACTGGAACCGAGGGAATCCTGTCCCAAATGGATTCTTTATCCTGGAATAAAAACATCCCAAATCCTGCCCCAAACTGAGCCATAACCTGGGAAGGAATCCTGGCCCTCTCTGGTCCCTATCCCAGGATAAATCCACCCAAATTCCCACTGAGGGAATCTTATCCCAAACTGATCCCTGTCCCATGACCTGAACTCCCATCCCAGGATAAAAAACCACCCAATTCTTCAGTGGGGATTGAGGGAATCCTGTCCCAAACTGATTCCTGGAATCCTGGCCTTACTCTGATCCCTTATCCTGAATAAAACCCACCCCAAATTCCCACTGAAACTCAGGGAATCCTGTCCCAAACTGCAGGAGGGAATCCTGGCCTTCTCTGATCCCAATCCTGGAATAAAACCCACCCCAAATTCCCACTGGAACTCAGGGAATCCTGTCCCAAACTGATCCCCTGTCCCAGGATAAAAATCCATCCCATTTTCCACTGGAACTCAGGGAATCCCATCCTTGCAGATCCCCTATCCTGGGATGGGCATTCCCAGCTCCAGCCCCAGAGCAGGAGCTGCCACTGACCTTTGATTTCCAACCACTGCTCGTAATCCTCTTCCTCATCCTCATCCGGGCCCTGGAAGACGCTGAGGCGGCTCAGGACGGGGCTGGGTTTGGGATGGGAGAGGCTCCGGGCCTGGAGCATGCGGCTCAGGGCCTGGCCCGGCCGCTTCCCCAGCAGCGCCGGCTTCTTCCCGGGGTTTGGAGCCGGGGCATTCCCGGAGCTGTTGGGGGGATTTGGAGGAGTTTCTGAGGGGAAAAGAAAGGGGAAATTATTCCTGGGAATTTTGGGTTTGGGATGGAAAAGGCTCCAGGCCTGGAGGACCCGGCTCAGGGCCTGCTCCGGCTGCTTCTTCCCGGGAATTGAGGCTGGGGCATTCCCGGAGTTGTTGGGGGATTTGGAGGAGTTTCTGAGGGGAAAAGAAAGGGGAAATTATTCCTGGGAATCCCAAATTTAGTGTGGGAGCTGCTCCAGGCCTGGAGGATCCAGCTCAGGGCCTGCTCCGGCTGCTTCTTCCCGGGGTTTGGAGCCGGGGCATTCCCGGAGCTGTTGGGGGGATTTGGAGGAGTTTCTGAGGGGAAAAGAAAGGGGAAATTATTCCTGGGAATCCCAAATTTAGTGTGGGAGCTGCTCCAGGCCTGGAGGATCCGGCTCAGGGCCTGCTCCGGCTGCTTCTTCCCGGGGTTTGGGGCTGGAGCATTCCCGGAGCTGTTGGGGGGATTTGGAGGAGTTTCTGAGGGGAAAAGAAAGGGGAAATTATTCCTGGGATTTTTGGGTTTGGGTTGGGGTATTCCTGGAGTTGTTGGGGGGATCTGGAGGAGTTTCTGAGGTGGAAAATAAAGGGGAAATTATTCCTGGGAATTTTGGGTTTGGGATGGGAAAGGCTCCAGGCCTGGAGGATCCGGCTCAGGGCCTGCTCCGGCTGCTTCTCCTGGGAATTGAGGCTGGGGCATTCCCGGAGTTGTTGGGGGATTTGGAGGAGTTTCTGAGGGGAAAAGAAAGGGGAAATTATTCCTGGGAATCCCAAATTTAGTGTGGGAGCTGCTCCAGGCCTGGTTGGGGCTGGAGCATTCCCAGAATTGTTGGGGGGATTTGGAGGAGTTTCTGAGGGGAAAATACAGGGGAAATTATCCACGGGAATCCTGGGTTTGGGTTGGGGTATTCCTGGAGTTGTTGGGGGGATTTGGAGCAGTTTCTGTGGAGAAAATGAAGGGAAATTTGTCCTGGAATCCCAAATTTCCTGTGGCTCCAGGCCTGGCCCAGCCACTTCCCCAGCAGCGACGGATTCTTTCCAGGGTTTGGGGCTGGGGCATTCCTGGAATTCTTGTGGGGATTTGGGGCAGTTTCTGAGGGGAAAACAAAAGGAAATTATTCCTGGGAATCTTGGGGTTTGGGCTAGGTAATTCCCAGAATTCTTGTGGGGATTTGGGGCAGTTTCTGAGGGGAAAACAAAAGGAAATTATTCCTGGGAATCTTGGGGTTTGGGCTAGGTAATTCCCAGAATTCTTGTGGGGATTTGGGGCAGTTTCTGCGGGCGGAATGAAGGGGACAGATTTCCTGGGAATCCCAGGTTTTGGATGGGAAAGGAAGGACCTACCAGCATTGGATTTTTCCCTCTGGAGCTTCAGGAATTGCTGCAGAAAGCTCCCATCGTTCACAAACTTGTTGGACACTGAGGCCTCGCTCTCGGAGCCATCGTCGCTGAGCAGGGACAGAAAAACAGGAGCTGGAAACTGGGAACTTCCCAGCCCTTCCCATGTGGGATATGGGACAGGGAAAACCCCCTGGAATTGTTAGTTTTCCTCACCTACCACTGAATCCCCAAAAGAACTCTGAATCTCCTTCCTTCTTCATTAAAATTGGGATTTTCCTCCCTCTGCTCCACCAAAACTAGTGCTCCACTAAAACTAATCCCTGCTCTGTTAAAGCTGGGATTTTCCTACTTTGCTTTGTTAAAATCATGATTTCTGCTTCCTAATCCACCACAACTCTGACATTCCTCCTTCTGCTCCATTAAAATCGGGATATTTGCTCCCTAATCCACCAAAATTGGGACTTTCCACCAAAATTGGGATTTTCCTTCCTTGCTCCATTAAAATTGTGATTTTCCTCCCTCTGCCCCATCAAAATCAGGATTTTTCCTCCCTCTGCTCCACCAAAACCGGGATTTTCCACCCCCAACCCTGCTTCCCACTCCCCGCCGTTTGCTGGCGGCTGGAATCCCGGGATTCCCGGAATTCCCGCGTACTCTCCGAGCAGCGGGAGCTGCGGGATGCTGAGGGAATTCTGCCGCGCCTGCTGCTCCAGCCGGGCCTCGATTTCCCGTTTTTTCTGGGCGATCAGCTCCTCCTGCTGCAGGATGTTCACGCTGGTCTTGGCCGACTTGGATTGGGACACTCCGAACCAGCGGCTCGCCTTCCCTGAGGGGAAAGGAGGGAATTAGCATGGGAATTGTCGGGGGGGAGAATTAACAGGAATCATCCTAAATTCAGGGGTCACTTCCCCTGAGGGAAAAGGCGGGAATTAGCATGGGAATCATCCGGAATCCAGGGGCCCGTTCCCTGAGGGGAAAAGGCGGGATTTAACACGGATCATCCCAAATCTAGGTGTGCATTCCTTGTGGGAAAAGTGCGGGAATTAAAGGAATCATCCTAATTCAAGGGCCGCCTTCCCTGAGGGAAAAGGGCGGGAATTACCATGGGAATTATCTGGAATCCAGGGGCGCATTCCCTGAGGGAAAAAGGCGGGAATTAGCATGGGAACCATCCAGAATCCAGGGGCACATCCCCTAAGGAAAAAAGGTGGGATTTAACACTGATCATCCCAAACCCAGGTGCACATTCCCTGAGGTAAAAGGTGGGGGGAATTAACAGGAATCATCCTAAATTCAGGGGTCACTTTCCCTGAGGGAAAAGAGCGGGAATTAGCATGGGAATTATCTGGAATACAGGGGCCCGCTCCCTGAGGGAAAAAGGCGGGAATTAGCATGGGAATCATCCAGAATCTAGGGGCACATTCCCTGAGGGAAAAAGGTGGGATTTAACAGGGATCATCCCAAACCCAGGTGCACATTCCCTGAGGGAAAAGGTGGGGGGAATTAACAGGAATCATCCTAAATTCAGGGGTCACTTTCCCTGAGGGAAAAGAGCGGGAATTAGCATGGGAATTATCTGGAATACAGGGGCCCACTCCCTGAGGGAAAAAGGCGGGAATTAGCATGGGAATCATCCAGAATCTAGGGGCACATTCCCTGAGGGAAAAAG